CAGAGAAGGTAGTGGGCCTTGTGGGCCTTGTGGGCTGGGAAGCCTGTGCTTTCTGAATAGTTGGCTGTCAACTTCTTGCCAATCCTTTATACAATGTGACCAGGTTCCTCTGAAGCCAGCTTGACCTTTGAGGCCAAGTTTCACCTCATTTTCTTAAGGTATGACCAAAAAATAATATCTATAATCAAACTGAAAACTCAGTTTTTGAAGATGAAGTTCAAAGCTGAGGAAAGCAAAGCTTAGGTCCAACCCACTCGATGAGCCGCTTAGCGCTGGATGCTGTGTTTGGGCTCCCTGATCATTTTACCAAATGGGATGGTATATTCACACATGGTGGCTATGATGGGACAGGGCTGGAACCATCTCAGAGATCTCTCTGAAGACTGGCCAGATAGCCCCGTTGATGCAGACAGGGAGGGGGCTGGGCTCTATGTGATCACCTTTTCCGTCTCTGACCTTTGAAGGACCGTCTTTGTATAGTCACTGGCTTGAAAAGCAACCTCTGAGATCCTTTGATCCTTGTCAAAATGGAAGTATCATCCAGCACTGAGGGACTAGAGACAGACTCCCATTTTCCCTAGTGCCCTAGTTCCTAGGCAGCCAGTCTGGCTAGCTTCCTTCCAATTCTCAGGGACTTTAGCAAGCATGTAAATACAGGCTTTATCGAGAGCTGGATTAGACACTAGGAGTGTATGAGTTGGGCCCTGGCTCTTCATTTGCCCTGGGATGGGAAAGAGAGTATGTCACCCCTTGCTATCCTTCATGCTTACATCAGGTTTCTACTTGAGTAAGGCTTAGCACCTCATTAGAGGGTATATTTATGTCCATCAGACTAGTCCTGAACTCATCATCTTCCTGCCTTACTCTCTGAGGCTCTGGGATTCCAGCTGTACCCTATCACACTCTATTTCCTACTAACTTTGGTTGGGACCTGGCCTTTCCTTTTTATTTCATATAACCAAGAGAGGCTCCATAGGATAATGGTGGAGGAGGCAGACAAGTATATACGTCCCAGAGTGTGCTGTCCGCAGGGGACAGCTTTTCAGCTGTGTGTCAGGGAGGCAGAGATGCCATGAGAATTCCAGGCTTGGAATCCAGTATTCAGAAGGAACCCACACATTATTAGAATGGGAAGCAAATTCACTTCTGGTTGTTTAAACTGATGTTCCAAAGAACAAAATCATCGGTTGGTGCCTTTAGCAACATCAGTGGGAGAATTTCAAGTAACAGTACAGGAGGAAAGGGAAGCCTGTGAATGCAGTCCTGGAAGCATCTGCTAAAACAGTCATGTCCTAGATGCATGATGGGATCTTTTCCAGCCGTAAAGAAGAATGGAATTAGGTTGCTTGCAGGAAAACATGCTCGACTGGAGATATTCACATTAAGGTAGATAAGTCTATTTTGGAAAGATACATATTGCTGGTGTTTTCTCTCATTTCTGCATCCTAAACATTATAGACACATAATAGCAGGTGTACTCATGGCATATGAACAGAAGCCATAATGTTTAGGAGGGAAAAGGGGGGAAGGGAGGGATGAGAGGGGGAGGACCAGGGGAATATGTTCAAAGCACCTCATATACATGATGACGCTGTGTGTGTGTCTGTGTGTGTGTGTGTGTGTCTGTGTGTGTGTGTGTGTCTGTGTGTGTGTGTGTCTGTGTGTGTGTCTGTGTGTGTGTCTGTGTGTGTGTGTGTGTGCGAGAGAGAGAGAGAGAGAGAGAGAGAGAGAGAAGGAGGTAAGGGAGGGTTAGAAAAATGTGTTTAAAGCATCTCATACATGCATGACTACATATGTGTGTGTATGTGAAAATCTATTCAGAAAAAAAAGATGCAGCCTAGAAGATATCCAGTTTAGTATTTTATTATCTTAACACTGCTGGGCGGCAGCTTTGGATTTGTTTATTTATTTATTTATTTATTTATTTCACGCATGCATGCATGTGGGAAGTGGGGAGGGTGCACGCGTGGTGCTCATGTGGAGGTTAAAAGGCAAGTTGTGGGAGTCAGTTTTCTCCTTATCTGACTGAACTCAGAGCCAGCAGTGGTGACATGCTATTTCGAAACCCAGTGAGAAGAGAGCACTGCGCACGTCTCCCAGGTCCTCTCACTGTCCCCTTATTTCCATGGCTGGCCGTTTGCTAATGGCATCCCTTCAAACCTTGCTATCTAGTATATGATCCAGGACCCATCTGCATCACATAGAGTCCACAGGTGAAGCAGACTGTCGCTCCCTTCTGCAGAACCACTGAACCAGCATGGCCTCACTCTGGACTTTCACGCTACAGTGGAGGGCGATATGCGTCTCACCAATCTATAATCTGCTACCCACACCATGAAAGATATAATATCAGCACATAGAAAGCTCATGTGGCGAAAAGGGATATATTTGTGGTTAACCATGAGAATAATATTTAAAATGTCAGCGTGCTTACCGAGAACCAGGCAGTATTACCAAGCCACGTTTCTTCATCTCAGCATGGTGGCTAAGTACACCTCCGCCCACCCCTGGAGCTGTCTGGGTTTTATATCGACAAGACACAAGCCAGTCCTTCTGGAAGAGACGACCTTAATTGAGAAAATGCTGCCACAAGATTGGCCTGTAGGCAGGCTTGTGAGCTTGTGGGGCATTTTCTTAACTAGTGAGTGATGTGGGCGTGCCAATGTAGACAGCGCCACTCCTGGACAGGTGGCCCTGAGGCTTAGAAGAAAGCTGGCTGAGAAAGCCATGGATGGCCAAGCCAGTAAACAGCCTTCTCCCATGGCCTCAGATTTAGTTCCTGCCTTGAACTCCTGCCCTGGCTTCCTTAGATGAAGGACTTCAAACTGAAAGCTGAAATAAACCCTTTCCTCCCCAAGAGTCCTTTGGTCCTAGCATTTTATCATGCAATAGAAAGTCTACCCAAGACAACCTCCCTCCTAACCCTGCCCAGGACATAAAAGGGCACAGAGAACTCCAGGATCATTATCAGAATCATACAGCAAACCAAACAGACAAGATTTGAACTCATGGAGACTGGCTACACAGAATGTACCTCAATTATATTTGTGGTATATGGTATGTGCCGTATGTGTGCTCACGGAGATCAGAGACCATCACTGAGGTGTCTTCCTGCCTCTTCGGAGACATAACCTAATTCTTTCCTGGTTTGGCTCCTCCAAAGACATTTCATTCACACTGATGTTACAGAGAGTATCCATCTTTCTCAGTTTCCGTTCATTCTCTGTCTAAGATGATCGATAATGCATTTGGTACATTCTTTTACATCTTATTTTAAATTTTCTCATCAAAACAGCACTGGGAGACGCATGTTCTCTGCATATTGATATTAACATAATTCTGAAAACTGAGAATGCAGGAATTTTTGTAACAGTGGGGTGCTGGGAGTAAATTCTACTGAAAAGCAAATTCCTACCATCAAGGATTTTTCTTTAAAAAAAAAGTTTCTAAGCCTTTTGGGGTGGGGCACAGAAGAGATGGCTCAGTGGACGAAAAACCTGCTGTGCATGAAAGAAGGCCTGAATTTGGACCCTCAGCATCTGCATAAAGCCAGATGTGGAAGGATATGTCTGTAACTCCAGCATCCTATGGTAAGATGGGCGAATCTCGGGAAGCTTGGACCAGCAGGGCTGGAACACCAGCAGGAACAATAAGAGACCTGTCTCAAAACAAGGTAGAAGGCAAGGACTGACAGCTCAGGTTGACCTCTGACCTCTACACACATGCTACAGCAGAGGCATGCATCTGCATCCACGCACATAAACACATACACGGGGGTTTTTGTTTGTTTGTTTGTTTGTTTTTTTGAAGGTGATGAGGGAGGAGATTGTACATAGAGATATATAAATCATACTTTATTAGCTCTGATATTAAACATACAGAAATTTACATTAGAAAACGTTATGGCTAAAGGGCTGGTCGTCTGATGAAAGTCAGCGCTGCCGTGTATGACGCATTAGCTGAGACAGCATTGCAGCCTGTCTCATGTGGCTACAATTAGGCCTTAGCTCCAGAGAAGCATTTATAGATGGAAGGCAGGTAAAGGGCCAGGCAGAGACACATACGGTTATGAGGCCGGTGTTTTCATATTTAAGAGGAATGCTGTTAGCTAAACGGCACTTTTTGTTACCATGGAACATCCCCACTGAACACGGTGCGTTATTTGTGGAGTCCGTTGGCAATCAGGCACATCCATGGACAGCTACAAGTGACTTCACAACAATCAGGCATCTTTACAGCCTGCTTTCAAGGGATACAGTGACAACACACATCACCTCTAGCGGCCCAAGAGGTGACAGTGTTGCTCTCGTGTCTGTCCCTTTGCACAGGCGCCAAGTCCCCTGTCGCTTATCACTTTGCGCATGCGTCACAAGCCCAATGACCACCTTGTTCTCCCGGCTCCTGCTTTCTTCTCTCCTCCTTCTCTCAGAGGCTGCCTCTCTTTCCCCTCCCAATAAACCTCCTATGTGAGACCTGCTGCATGGCGGGAATTGTTTGAGACTCGTCACTTAGTTCTAGCAGAGTAGATTTCAGAAGCCCGAGGAGGTTCAAAACTTCCTGTTTAAAGTCCGTCATCTGCTACAAAAGGCACTCAGCAACTTTCCTGTGGAAGCGTACCTCACAGGGGAGGCAGGGTAAAACACACCGTTCTCTTAAAATGCCACCTGTACACTGGCGCCATCCGTTTCCAACTGAGACTGCTATGCCAGTTCTATAATCCCCACACCACAGATTGGGAAGGAGCACCCCATCTCACCAGAAAACTGTCACGTGTCAAGGCCCCTGTGAGTCACACAGTGTGAACATAAATCATTAGACAATTGAAAAGTTAGCGTGACACAGGGTGACTCAAAGATCAAAAGCAGGAAAGCAGGGAGCTGACAAGCTGGTCTATCTCAGCCCACTGCCCCAGAGCTAGCAGCTCCAGGCCACTTCTTCCCTGGAAAACCATCAATCACAGGTTAAGTACCCCGAAGACCCCCAAGTCCAGAGGCACTTACCTTGCACTGACCCGACACACAGATCGCCGTGCCGTTCTGATCACAGGGCGTGCCATCAATGACCCTCTCAGCTTGCCGTACGTAGAAGCGGTAGCCAGTTGCCTGGCAGTTCAGCTCACACTTCCGATTACCCTTTACTACAGAGAGAGAGGGAGGGGGAGGGGGAGGGGAGGGGGAGGGGGAGAGGGAAAGGGAGAGGGAACACACAAAGGTTTGAGTGACCTCACCTCTGTAGAATCCACCCTCACCCTTCCACCTATATATTATTCATGGTAATAAACTTCATATTGTTACGAATTGACAGTTTTGATCAAAGTGAGGTTAGTATACATAACGGCCGATCAATTGACATAATCAAATTTAAGACATTTTCATAACCCCCAAAAGAAGCCTTATGCCTGTGAGCTGCCCCTTCAGTTCGTCCTCCAGAGTGTCTCCCGTCTGTAGATCTGTTCTCAGGTACTTCTTATAGTTGTGAGAAAACCATCAGACCTCCCGCAAGGACAGTCTGGAGACGGCTTTGTATCTTCATCTATTGGTGTATGGTGGAGATCTGACACTAACAGAACATTGTAAAGAGTTTTAAAAGCTCTCACCATTGCAGATAAGATTGTACTTCTACACACCCTGTGGTTTGTGTTGTTACAGAATTCTGTGTCATTTTTAAGCTTTGCTATGCTTTTCTTTCTTAGAACTTTAAAAGCTATGTGGGGAACTGGGGATGTGACTGGGAATGTGACCATTTGATAGAGCTTTGAGGTTCTGGGTTTGATCCCTAGCGTGGCATAAACAGGACACAGTGGTATGTGCCAATGTCATCTTTGTGGTCACACAGTGTGCTGGTTAGCATCATCTGGAGGGAGGAAACCTCAACTGAGAAAACGACTTCATACAACCTGTCCTGTAGCCACTTCAAAGCGGGGCTTTGCTTTTCAGTGACTGATGATGGATGAGGGAGGACCCAGCACAGGGTGGGCAGTGCCACCCCATAGCAGACAGTCCTGAGAAGGTAGCTGACTGTGAGCCTGGAGAGCAAGCCAGTGAGCAGTGTTTCCCTGTGGTCTCTGCTTCAGCTCCTGCCTCCAGGTTCCTGCCTCCAGGTTCCTGCCTCCAGGTTCCTGCCTCCAGGTTCCTGTCCTAACTTGCCTTCAAACTGGAGTATACACTGAAAGATAAACTCCTTCCTCTCCAAATTGCTTTGCATAATGGACTGTATTACGGCAACAGGAAGCAAACCAGGACGCGTGGTGATTCTGAAGGCTTCTTGGGCCATGTGAAGTCCTGTCTCCTAAACAAATCGACAAACACACAAAAAGACCTACATGGCTGTATCACCTTTACACTCTCAAATTTTTATGTTTACTTGTTTATTTACTTATTTGTTTACTGATTTAATGTGCATGTGTGCCCATGTGTGCACATACTTTTCTAAACAGAACGGAGGTGGGAAGACCTAGCCTAGATGGTGTCACATCCTGGGCTGAGGACAAGAGAAGAGAGAGTGAACCATGTGACAGCATGCCTCTCTCTCTGCTTCCTGACTGGGGCGCCATGTCACCTGGAACTGCTGAACCCTCTTTCCCACAGGATCAGCTACACTTGCAAGCAATGGACTAGAAGAAAATCTTGCCTTCCTAAGCTGCTTTTGTCACATAGTTTTGTACCAACAACGAAGAAAGTAACAAACACACACTGTCTTCGCTTCACTGCCCACCTGCAAACTGTTTGTCCTCACCTCTGACTCATTAGATTTCTGTCACTTTACACAGAGCCTGGTATACTGTAGGTGTTCAATATGTGCTAACTATTGTCACAAGAAACAATCTAGTTTGTTTGCAAAAGAAAGAAAGATGATTAGGCAAAATATATTTCATATCTAAAACAGACAAGCCAAGCACACACTGATTTTAAAACCTGCTTTTGAAGACAATATAAATTCTGTGCTTAGTCACAGACAGCACAACCGGGGTCATGTCTCTGTCTAAAAACCAGATTATTGGATCTCGTAATACTGGCTTTTCCCTACACAACACAATGCATCATGTTTTCCCTAGAGGGGCTGCCTGCCTGTCATAGCAATAAATCTCTTTATTTTGTTCCAGAGCCACTGGATCTCGCTAACAGGAAAGAACAGGGGGACTCTGGGACCTCAAGGCTCAGGGAAGGTCAAGTCCTCTGTGAGCTCTGGGCTGTAGCATACAAGCCCAGAGACTGCTTTCCTGCTTGGCTACAGGAGAATTGGAAGGGTGAATGTGGAAAACTATCCTGACAGAATACTGACTACCAAGATGGAAGCATCACTGGGGACTTCCCCGGATCAAATTATTTTATTGGCTTAAGAAATCCAGGGACTGAAGGGACAGCTTTGTGGTTCAGTGCTTGCCGGCAGGGAAGAGACACTGTGTTCTAGAGCCAACACTGAAAACAGAGGGTAGTGGTGGGGGCAGGGGAAGGCAAGCCTCAGCAAGGCTCATCATGTGGACACTACACCTGAGTGCCGTGACCACAGAGGCCAACGAGGATGCTTGGTCCTTTGGAGATGGAGCTACAGGCAGTAGTGAGTGTGCTGGGAACCACACTCGGCTCCTCTGCATGGATAGTTAGCTCTCTTAACCACTGAGCTATCTCTCTAGTCTTATGATTTGCTTTCTTAGCTCATCACTTTCTTCTTCTCCCCACTCTGTAATGAGCTAGCCAGTGCTGTCCAGGTGTGCCACATTTTAAATAGTAAATGTGACTGTGACAGGCATGTGACTTGGGTGAGGGTTTGGTATTTTTACTTCTGTGGCCTCTTCCAGTATCTTCTGCAGCTATGATTTTCCTTCTTTCCTCCTTCTCCTCCTCTCCCTCCTCTTTCTCCTTCTCTTTTGTTTTGTTTTATTTTTTAAGAAAGGGTTTCTCTGTATAAAACTGGATGTCCTGGGACTAGGCCTCAAACTTAAGAGATCTGCCTGCCTCTGCCTCCCAGCTGCTTAGATGAAAGGTGTGTGCCACTATTCCTGGCTATAATTTTATTTTATTTTTATATTTGCAACTGTAATAATAATAATAATAAAAAGGCCATTTGGAAAATGTCCTGATTAGTTTTATGTCAACTTGACACAAGAGCTAGGGTTATTTAAAAGGAAAAACCACAAGATCTGGGGATATGGCATTTCCTTAATTAGTGATTGATGGGTGAGGGTCCAGCCCATGGTGGTGTAGTGCCATCCCTGGGCTGGAAGTTCTCGAGTCTGGAAGAAAGCAGGCCATAGGTAGCAAGCCAGTAAGCAGCACCCCTCCGTGGCCTCTGCATCAGTTCCTGCCTCCAGGTTCCTGTTCTGTTTGAGTTTCTGTCCTTACTTCCTTCATCTATGAACGATATGGAAGTATAAGCTGAAATAAACTCTCTCCTCCTCAACTTGCTTTTTGGTCATGGTATTTCATGGTGCAATAGAAGCCCAAATTAAGACAGAGAAGAAGAAGTGGGTGGGGGGAGTTAACCATGAGATAGAACATGATACTCTCCAAATGGCCAAATGGAAATAACCCAGAACAGTCTCAGGCTTGGAATAAGTCTACCTACTGCTCCAATCAGTCACTGGGCTGGACCCTTGCTCCTGTGGCTCACAGGGTGAACCTCTTCTAAGACCTGCACCCAAGAGACAACTGATATCTGAGCTCATGTGACTTTCTGACCAAACTGCCTAGTGTCCTTTTGTCTGAGAGGTCATTTGTTTGTGACAGGGTCTCCCTCTAGTACAGTAGTTCTCGACCTTCCTAATGCTGCAGCTCTTTAATGCAGCTCCTCACAATATAGTAACTCTCCAATCATAAAATTATTTTTGTTACTATTTCATAACTGTAAGTTCGCTTCTGTTATGAATCATAATGCAAAGCTCTTTGTTTTCTGATAGTCTTAGGCAAACTTTATGAAAGGGTCATTCGATGCCCATAAAGGGGTCTTGAAACACAGGTTGAGAACCACTGCCTTAGATAGTATCATAGAGCTTCTCAGCCAATTATGTCCAGGCTCCTCTGGATCTTGCATATACGTACATACACGTAAGCCTACATGCATGCATGCATGCACATATACACACACTCCCTAACGCCTTTGCAGTTCCAAACAAGATATCCATGAAGGGCTCCGAAGGAAGACTGGGCAGCAAGAGTGCATGTCCTTCCTTTTTTTCTCTCTGGAATGAAGTATACTTCTAGGACTGTGTAGCTCAGTGGCTGAGCATGTGTGTAACACATGCATGTCCCCACAGTCAATCACACTAGTAAAAACATTTCTAAAAGCAAACTAAAGTTCTGATACCTGGAGGTCTATCTCCCTGAGCAGATTTGTCACAGCTTGTTAGCATAGTGGAAGGAGGAATCGAAAAAGCAGCCACCAACTAACAGCTGTAGGCTAAGTGTGTCCCTCCTGCCCATTTTCCCCCCACAACTCTATCTCTCTCTTCTCCTCCTCTCCTCTCCTCTCCTCTCCTCTCCTCTCCTCTCCTCTCCTCTTCTCTTTCCTGCTGCTTCCCAAGTTCTCATGGTGGGGGACTCTTGATCTTTTTTTACCCATAAAAATAGTGGTTCTGGATGTGTGTGTGGCGGTCCCTCGGCACCAGGCATCACTTGGGAACCGGCTGAAATGTGAACTCTTCAAGGTGGCTCCCAGACATCCTGAGGCAGAAACCCTGGGGATGAAGCCCCATCCTTCATCAAGCTTTGGAGCCACTGCTCTCAAAGACTATCAAGATGGGAACACATCTGGAGAGTGATGCGCATTCTTACTCGGGCCAATGGAGGAAGAATCAGGAGGAGGACTGAGAAAGCTGGAAGAGTCGAGGACAACACAAGAAGATCTACAGAGTCAACTACCATGGGCTTATAGGAGCTCATAGAAACTAAAGCACCAACCAAAGAGCATGCAGGAGCTGGATCTAGGCATCTTACACATTGATAGCAGATGTACAGCTTGGTTTTCACGTGAATCCCCTAACAGTTGGAGCACAGACTGTCTCTAACTCTGTTGCCTGCCATTGAATCCCTGTCCCCTGGCTTGGTGGCCTTGTTGGGCCTCAGTGGGAAAGGATGTGCCTTGTCGTGCTGTGACTTGATATGCCAGGGCAGGTTGGCACCTATGAGGAGCTTCCCCTTT